TCAATGGCTGAATGGCTCTATCGATAATGGAAGTGAGCCAAAAAACAGCAAACAATGAGACTGGGTGTTGGAAATAATGTTCAACACAACCACAAACTGTATAAAATGTTCTTTTTACAGGCAGATTGACAAACAGCCGGCCAGTAGCTAGCTTATCTTTTCTGATCTTACTTCATCTTATCTTGGACATTATGCTAAGACAACCGCAAATTTTTCAGGATGTTCTGTTTACACACAGCGTCGAAAAACAATTAGCACACTTAGCTTGGCTTTGGTGAGCTCGGTTTATTATCTTCACTTCGCAACGCTCAACTTAGCCTCGCTTCGCTTTGAACATAACAGTCCAAAACCAAATGGGACTGGATGTTAGCAATAATGTTGACACATCGACAACCTATATTGAATGTTCTTTTTATACACGTTTGACAAACTACTGGGAAACAGTTTAACATTGGTGAGCTTGGTTTATTATCGTATTTTAGCAAAACTCAAATTAGCCTAGCTTAACTTTGAACATAACAGTCTGAAACCAAATGAGACTTAATTTTCGGAATAATGTTAACACATCTACAAACTGGATTGAATGTTCCGTTTATACACGGTTGATAAACTAAAAGCAAACAGTTAGCTTAACTTTGGTGAGCTCAAATTAGCCTCGCTTATCTTTGAACATAACAGTCTGAAACAAAATATAACTCGGTGTTAGAAATATATATATATATTTTTTTTAATTGATGGGCATAAGTTTATCAATGACTTTCATTGCCGATCACAAAAAAACCATCAGGCGCAGCTTGTACTTTGCCTGAAGACTAGCCTGTGTCTGTGACTTAGCTAATCAAAACTACAATACTTTATATTAGTTGGGATTTTCAGATTTGGAATTAGAATCAGTTTATCTTAAAATATGTGCATCAGAATTCCTGAATCATAAATTTGACGTTAATAGCAATAGTAATAATATATGTTTTTTTGTTGTTGTTGTTGCACACTTCAAGCACTTGTTAATTCAGTCATTAGATTTGCTAAGGCGTCATTTTAGCTACATGTGCAGGAGTCTGATTAGCTCCTCCACAGGAGTCGGTATTCTTGCCAAATTGTAATTGTGTGCAGACATCTCCCAGCATGTAAACACCACAACCGAGAGTCCAAAGCTTGCTTCACACTTTCTTGCATTAATCATTGCACTTTTTCCACGCCGAAAACTCCGCTTGACAAATGCCGCTTGTAAGTCATACATTTGGAGACACCGACAGTGGCGTTTGTGAATTAAATGCCCGCATCTAGTGCCTAGTGGAGCGACGCACATGCATATGAACTTGGTAATGAAATGAATAATTAGCCCACTCGTCTAGTAAATCATCAAGTCCCACGGGGCCGTCTGTGGAGCGAGAGCGGCTGCGGCGCCGTGAAAACAGCCAGCTTCCCTTTTCGGTGGCAGACTGTGACGCTGATGGTTGCCGTTTTGGTGTGTGCGTGAGCGCGCGCGTGCGTGCGTGCGTGTGTGTGTTGTTGCTATGTGCCCGACAGCTGCAGTGTACTGATGCATGGTGAATAACAGGTCAGGCTTAATCTCGTTAAGGGTAATCAGATGTATATGATATGTAGAAACCACTGCAGCTGCACTTGCCGTCCATCACTGGGCCGGCGGTGGCGTGTGTTTGTGGATGTTAGTGTATGTTTGTGTGCGCGCGGAGTTGAAATGAGAAAAAAGGATGTCATTTTTCAGAGTGCTACATTATCAGAGGAATTATGGAATTATGCGCAGGTGGATGGATGGCGTGAATACTGATACGGCGGGAAGGAATATATTTGTATAAATGTTCACACAGCGGCGTTTTTCACTCCTCCTGTTCCAAATGAGGAAACCGGATGCAACTTGGGTAAATGAGGCGTGCCTCCAGAGAGTTGGGTTTTGTTGCTGAGTGCATGTGTTGCGCATGTGGCATTCTCACCACTTCCGTGGCGATGATTTGCTTTTTTTCTTACATATACGCTGTGTTTTTCGATAGAAAAAGTGATGAGCCACCAACCACTTAAGGGGATGCGCTTGTTTAAAAATGACTTTGAATTTCCCGAACTCAATAAAATCATTCGGGATTCCTAAACCTTGGCAACTGAAGCACAACTTAAGCTGTCTCAGTCGATGCCAACAGGTAGATCAACGGAAATTGCACCCCATTGGTCATGTCACACATTCTCCGGACCGCTTGTTGCCAGGCAAATTTCAGAGCACCACCATTTGTGGCCCCGAAGTCTCCCCCGCATCCCCCACCCCAAAAACAAATTAAATAAAGCTGCCACACCTACTGAAGGAATGACTCCAAAAATACTCCACTGGTAGAAGAAGGATCAGGATTCTAATCATTTTTATTTCATTTAGGTTTTTTTTTTTTTCTTTTCAATTTATTTAATTGGATTTTCGAGACGGTTTGTTTATTATTGTTTTTTATTTTTATTTTTTTCGGAAATGCTTCATTTTTGTCTAATTTGTATTAGTATTGTTTAGTTTTAGCATTAGTTTTAGATTTTACAGTGTTCCCTCACATTGCCTGTCGATACGTTCCATGATCCCCGTGATGTTTACACCCTTCTAAACACTCGTTACACTGAACAAATGTAACTTTTAAAAATGCAAAATATGAAGAATAATTACAGGGAAATGGGTGATCAAAGAATATGACGCAAGACACTGAGTAGGTCTCATTTTTCACAGTACAATATGTGATATAAACTGATATTAAATTAATACTTGGTTAAATTTTACTGACCTAATGAAGTGGGACTGTGAGTGTTCTCATAAAGTCCTGTTTGCATTGGAGTTTTATTAAGATGATTTCTTGAGGTAATTTTTACTAGCTGTCCACCAGGCGAAGGAAGAGACATAAAAGTAGTTCTCTTGGAGTTGTTGGAACATGTTTGCTGATTGCCTAATTTCATATGGGAGCCGGCACAAGAGCCCCCCCCCCCTCCACCCCCCTGCCATCTTGTTTGAAACCTTTCCCCTGAGCGCCCGAGTGTCCCTGTTGGTTGGAGATTGGTTTCACTTAAAGCACTTAAAACAGCCCTCAGCAGCCACGTTTGGCGCCGAAGCAAATATCCAGATCACACTTGGATTGTTTTGAAATGGAAGGCAATCTGCCCGAGATGTAAGCCATCATTTCACGTTTGCTCCCTTGATCTGTCTCTCTTTCACTCGATGCCACCAGCCTCTTGTTTCCCTCACAAGCCAGTGCAGTGAGGAATTGCTCTTCTCTAAAGACCTTTTCAAGTGTGGAGCTGAAATATGACAATGAATATATGCTCTTAAAATATGCCAAGATTCTGCAATTCGCTCACAGTGGTGAGCGAGGGATGATTTAAATAATTAACAACGAAGTAAGAGACGCCGGGGAACCAACCGTAAGACGGATGAACACATTGCTGCCTTTTGTCCCTCTCGGGCATTTACTTTAATGAGCCACATCTTTCAGCACTTGTGTGGCTTCGACGGGGACTCTTGTCAGTCAAATTGTACCTTTTATGGAAATATGAGGTTGGACGGAAGTGTCACGTAAGGAGTGGAATTTGGACTCAGAAGGCAGACTTCTTGAGATTGCTTTTGTATGGGGCCGGGAATATTTAATCAAGTATCCTGAAAGTGCTACAATTACATCATTTGCACCACACTATTTTGGAATGCGTCCCCAGTCTCGTAATAGACGCGTTGAATCAATCCGTGCAATTATATTGAATGCCGAGTTAGAAGCCCTGTTGCACGCCTTTTGTTGAAAAAGCCAATAACTGAATGACTGGATGTGTGTGAAAGTACCATGAAGTATTTATTGAAATATAAAGTGCAGGGTTAAGTGTTCATTTCCTATTTATTTATCTTTGGATGGGTACAGTAGTTTGAAGGTGTAATGTGGATGAGAATCAATAATGCTTTATTTTGTGTGTGTATTTTCCTCTTTTTGGATTTTACGCTTCTGTACTTTTCATGTAACATGGAGTTTACCACCCAGAGTCCTCCCGTCTGGACTGGTTGCCTGGCTTGCATTGCTATCTCTCTGGGGGACAGGAACACCCATCAGGAGTCATTAGTTTCCACGGCGAGAGGTCGGAGACTCTCCCTGCTGCAGCTTTTGAAATTACACTGAAATGATGAGACACTGAGATTACTTTTTTTTTTTTTTTTTTTTTTTACAATTTCTAAACTGTGTTCTCCCACACAATGTTCCGAAAAGGCATAGAATGCAAGTCACAGTGATGTTTTCACATCAAAATCCCTTTTTTTTTTTCTTCCCGATAGCAATGCACTTAACCAATATGTGATTTGTTTTAAAACTAAAAAAAATAATAAAGTAAAATCTAGGTAATTGTTCTGTTCTTTTTCGTGGTCATTGCTTGGCAGTATTTGTGGGACATGCTATTTTTCCCCCCCCCAAAGCCAACTCGATTAAAATAAGCATAGATGCCCCTTGGGGTTGAGCGATCTGTTGCCTCACAGAACCGAGAAAGGACAGGTACAGCCGGCAGCCACATACTGTCATACTGACACAATAAAAGCTAGTTCCAAAAATAGTTTCTTCCACTTTGTGCTCCATGGCTGATTTATGAAGACAATCCCATTAGTGATTCTCAAGTAACTCGAAAATGGCCACCTCACTTCAGTTTTTTTTTTTCCTTTTTTTTTCTTTTTCTTCTGAATGTGGAGATTGGATTCGGTCTTGAACTTGTCAAAAACCTCTTCAACTATTTGGCTTCACACCTTTAACAGAAAGCTGACGAAATGAATGTTTGGACACCCCTGGCCTAATCTAACAGACTTGCACTAAATTTGCTCATGATTGAATGACAATGCAAACATTTTGAAGACGAAATCCCGATTCTCGAAAAAAAAAAAAAAACTTCACAAGCTATTTTCACCACAGCGCCATCTGCCAGATCTGCAGGGGCACCGCCCCACTCGCCGCCGGAAGCAAGATCGCCTCCTGATGTTCTCTCCATTTTCCTGGCAGACGGACGCAGCCCTGATGTACGATGCCGTGCACGTGGTGGCGGTGGCGGTCCAGCAGTCGCAGCAGATCACCGTCAGCTCCCTGCAGTGCAATCGCCACAAGCCATGGCGCTTCGGGGGGCGCTTCATCGGCCTCATCAAAGAGGTACCGTAGCGCGACGTCCACCTCTGACCCGGTAGCTGCTGAGCCTTTGATGAACGCCGACTACTGTGTGGAATCACTGATTTTTAGACCCTCATCTCCCGTCGAAAATAACCCATGACTACATCTTAAACATCATCATTATAGCTTTTTTTTTCAGTGCGCGTCTCCGTCCTTGTAGATATCAAAGCGTCTTTCGTTGTGGTGCGGGTCAGCAGATTGCTCGCTTTGTTCTTGCTCCTCTTTCATTCCGGGGACGTTATCATTGCAGGTAATTTTCATGATCATCAATGTGCCGTACTGGCAGACTAACAACACCCCCCCCCGCCCCCCGCCGCCCACCCCATCCTCTTCACCCTGCTACCGAGGCTCTGTTTCTTCAAAGCTGAAGTTGCAGCACGCACGCATGATGAACTCGTCACTGTTTTCCCCCCTTTTAGCGGCTCGGCCGTCTAATGCTAAATTACTGCGGCAGACAGTGAGAGGAGAGAGCTCGGCGCAGTGCATGATTCGGAAATAAAATGAGGTGGTTAGAGGTTAGATTGATATTGCGGAGAAAGACGGCGGGTTCAGCTTGATGGAGCGGCTGCGCTCGGAGGCTGAAGATTTTTTCATTATCATTATCAACATTATGTTTATAGGCTCACTGGGATGGCCTGACCGGCCGCGTTCTCTTCAACAAGACCAATGGACTCAGGACGGATTTCGACCTGGATGTCATCAGCCTGAAGGAGGAAGGCCTGGAAAAGGTGCGGTAATGCGGTTTGGCCGTCTGCCGCATCGATGTTGAATGGGAGGGAAAGAACTGTTCTCAAGAGACCTACGTAGAACATTGTCCAAATTATAGGATGTATGCCAGAAACGTTCCAGGACTGGTGTTACATAAGCTATAGACACCTGACCAAGGACTACCTTAGAGTACCTGGTCAGGAGCGGATCCAGGTAGAGTTTCAGAGAAACACTGACTGATTCGATGACTGCTGTCTCGGTCTCTCAAAACAAATGAAAATAACAACAACGAAGACAATACTTGGGGGTGCTTAACCGAGACCGCCACTCGTGCTGGCGCCATTCCACACAGTGATGCTAACATAACATAATAGTGTACACACCCTTTTTTAAAAAATAATTTCCTCCAATATTCTAGTGAGCGCACATTGACCAGACGAGACAAATTGTGACGCTGAGCTGTCTCCACAGATCGGGACATGGGATCCTCCGAGCGGTCTGAATATGTCTGAGACTCACAAAAGCAAGACGTCCAACATCACCGACTCGCTGGCTAACAAATCTCTGCGCGTCTCCACCATACTGGTAGACGAAGTCGGCTATAAATAACAATGAGAGCCCTACAAAATGTTCACAAGCTGACCTTTTGCTCACATTCCCGCCCCGCGCAGGAGGAGCCGTACGTCATGTTTAAAAAGTCGGACAAACCTCTGTACGGGAACGACCGCTTCGAGGGTTATTGCATCGACCTGCTGAGGGAGCTTTCGGGAATCTTGGGCTTCCAGTACGAAGTGCGGCTGGTTGAAGACGGCAAGTATGGCGCCCTGGATGAGAGTACGGGCCAATGGAACGGCATGGTGCGCGAGCTCATGGACCATGTGAGTCCCCCGTTTCCTCAACTCGGCATCAAACAAAATAAACAATCTTTTTTTTTTTTTTCCTTCTTCAACGATAAACTTATTTAACCAACCTCAAGAAGAACCCCTAACTCCACAATCAAGACTGTAATTACTTTTTCTGTTTAAATCTCTTTGCACAGTGGAAGAAGCTCTCCCTCCTGCCTGCTAACTCTAATCCCAAGGTTGTTGCCTTTGTGACTCACCTGCGACACCATTTAGGAAAGTTCAAACATAAACCCGGAGGATGTAATTTCCATTAAAAATGAATACGCCCGTCCGCAGTCTAACTGAACCGAGGGCCCTGATTATTTCACCTCTTCCTTCTCGGCTCTTCCGCCCGTACACGTTGACCCCGCCGGCTGACGACAGAAATCGAATGCTAATTTGATTTGTCTACTCTGCTGTTTTTTTTTTTTTCCCACCGAAACCAGCCTCATCCACTTTGCTTTTACGTTGTCGCTGCAGAAAGTCGACTTGGCGGTCGCTCCTCTGGCCATCACCTACGTGCGAGAGAAGGTCATTGACTTCTCCAAGCCCTTCATGATGCTGGGGATAAGTATCCTGTACCGCAAGCCCAACGGCACCAACCCGGGGGTCTTCTCCTTCCTAAACCCGCTCTCACCTGACATCTGGATGTATATTCTGCTGGCTTGCTTGGGTGTCAGTTGTGTGCTGTTTGTCATAGCCAGGTAACATGACGCCTTTCCCACCCTCTCACCTCACTCCGCTTCCTCGGTCAGTTTTGGCGGATTTGATTGAGGTTGTGGACTGATCTGAGCTCTGCAGACGATTGTGGCGCAAATGACCAGTGCTTGCATCCCCCAAAAAAAGAAAACTCCACTAATGTGCCAGCTAGACTTGCGCCGGCTACGAAAATAGAGCCCCACTCACTTCAACTCACGACTCTCACATCAACATGCCACCAGGTGGCACTGTTATTGTCCTGGCTTGAGCACGAAAACAGTCAATAGTTGTTTCAGGGAATAAATGATGATAGGTCCCTGACAAAAAAAATGTGCTAATTCAAGTCATCTTAAATTGTAACTGAAACAGTTCCACTCCAGGCCTGCAGGTGGTTGCGATGTTCACTTTGGATCAAAACCACTTTTTATGTTTTCTTCCTTTCTTTCTACCACTCCTGTTTCTGTTAAAAAATTGTAATCCTGCCAACACACAAAAGAAATGAGTACATTGGACCAAAAACATCACACGGCAGACGTTAGAACTCGCGGTGTAAGCACAATTTTAACGGCGGGCCAGGGACGCTTTGAAGGTAAAAAAATCAAGACGAATAACTGATGACTCTGATCTTAATGCAGTAAATGGATGAAAACATGGAAAACGGCTTCATTTAGCGCTCGGAAAGGCGCAAAATAAACTGCTGACATTGTACAGGACAACAACCCCCCCTCGCTCTCCCCACCACCACACCCATACTCCAATGGATGACCTTTGCAGAGAAATGCACGTTAGCCCCCGGGCAGGCGTCGGGGTTTAACGCCCATTTTTCTTTTTTGCCAAATGTTACCGGCAATATGATCACACGAGAGGAAAAGCAGCAACTGTCACCTAAGTTAGTTCAGAATATGCAAATTTGCGCAACTATTTAGCAATCGTGGCGGCGGTAAGTGACGGGCATGCGATGATTGTTGATATTCGTCTCATGAATTGGCTTTGATCTAATTGTGTATGCCTCGTGATTTTAATTGCAAACCACAGCAGGGAAAAATATCAAATGGAGCTCTTGTTTGTACACGATTTTGAATTTCAAAATGCTCGCAAAACGGAAGGTAAAGTCACTTTTTTTTTTCCTCTTTCCATATTTGTATCCCAATCCAAACAAAGAAACACACTTTTCTTTTAATCCTTTGCCAGGAAAGGAGCATTGGGGTACACTGGGGGGTGGTTGGGGGGGGGGGGGCACACGAATGACAGAACATTCGGAGAGGAAAAAAAATGAAGATGTAACTAAAAAGAAAATGTTTGGGAATGTAAAAGTATACCTCTGTTGAAGGGACTTTTGAGGATGCAGTTTGATTGACTTTATTTTTTTTTTCTTAATAGTGCAATTTTATTGCGGTAGCATTTCAACTTAATATTCTTTCTGAATGCTTATTGTTATTGTCATCGAGTTATGAGTAGTTTTTTTCTGGTGCTATTATGACTTGTAGCATTGCACAATTTTTTTTCCCAGCACTTGGGGGGTGGGGAGGGTGGGGGGGGGCATTTCTTTCTTCTTCTAACGTGACAACTTTTTTCTCGTCACTTTACAACTTCAGTCTTGTGACGTGATGACTTTCATCGAGTAACCTTTTGACTCTCTTTGTGATATCATTTTTTTTTTTTTTTTCCAAAGCAACCCGACAACTTCTTTCTTTGTGATATTCTGACTCGACGCTAACAACCTTATGAATCCCCTTTTTCCCTCGGGGCAACGAATTGACATCAATGAATATTTCAAATAATATCGAGTCTTTTTCCGAGCAATATTTTTACCACTCTAGTTGCTTTAAGACTTTTTTTTCTTGTAATATTCCGACTTTACTAAGCACCCCTAAGAGTTTTATTTTTTTTAAATGTATTTATTTTTTTGTTGTATTTTTACGACTTTAGTCAACATTACTTTTTTGTAATATTATGCTGGTAACCTGAAGCTATTTTTTCTTCGCAAATTGCGAAGTTGACTTTGTCATTTTGTGACTTTAACCAAGCAACCTTGCAACTTGATCCTTTTTTGGTTACTTAATTTTGGCCACTGTCGGACGATTTAATTGTGATCTTGCAAATTTTTTCTTTTAATGGGTCGGACTTTTTCTTCGTAGTGTTTCACGTCTATTCTGGTGACTGGTTGGACTTTTTATTTTTTCGACTTGAGTAACTTTGCGACTTTGTTGCAATGTTGAGACTTTTATCGAGTAACCTTACGACGTTATTTTTTTTTTTTCGACGATTTTCTTAAAATCCGACAAACATATTCTAACGTTAAATTATTCTGGTAACCCGATGACTTCATTCTTCGGAGCATTTCCACTTGTGCCGTACAATGGTCAACTTGCCACATTTCCCTTGACTTTCTTCGAAGGAAATTTGGGTTATTTTCACTGTAACATGACGCCTTTACTCTGTTTAAAGCGTCGTTTTTTTTTGTTTTTTTTTCCTCGTAACGTCGCAACTTTATTCTCACAACATTGCCTTTTGTGCGCTGCCCCAGTCCTCCTTCGTTCTTTGCAAATAAACTGTTTGGGGTTCATGAAATTGTGGTCTTGCACAATAAAACGCAGAACACTTGAGTCTCCTGCTGGGGATTCACTTCTTTGAAGCACTTCACACACACACACACACACACACACACACACACACACACACACACACACACACACACACAGACACACATTTTTTTTTCCTTGCCTGACTGCGTTATCCCATCTCAGGCGAGAGACAAACACACTTCTCCCAGCGGATCCTTCCAGAGCTGTCTTGTGCTTGTGCGTATTTCTCTCTTTATTAACAGCAACAAATGATATTTTCTCACATCACAAGTCCCTTTCAAGGTAGAAAATGTCACCCCGCCCAGGAGAGCAGATGATTTAAATGGCATCTTTAGTTGCAACTAGTGCCGCTTTGAAGTCGACGGAGTGGCGATTTGAACACCCTGAACATTAAGTCCTCACATAGCCTGAGTGCATGTCAACAGATCTATAAAGCCAGGCCAAGTAATTGAATCCTGGGGACAGTTAAAAGTAGCGCTGTCGCGCCATTGTGGAAGCCCAACCGAGATGGCGGAATCCTTTTAGCATTCTGCGCGCAAATTTGACATGTGCTCGACGCGCGGAGGTGACCTCATGTCCGCGTGTTCCTCATGTGCGTCTTCCTCGCAAAAAAACGGCGTGGCGAACACCGCCTGCGGGAATATAGCCCGGCTGCAGGCAAAGGTCATACAGAGGAGCCCGACGCTCACAGAATAAACATACGGATGCTGAGCGAGCGGGAACAACCCAATCCAATCAAGCGCGCGTTGCACAGATTTACACCCACCCATCTTGTATACGGCTCAAAGCGCGACGGCTCGCATTCACACGGTCACCGACAGAAAGCCGCAGGCTGCAGATCCGCATTTAAAAACATCGATGTACAGACGCCAGTCTATAAACACAGGAAAACCATCGCCTCAAGGACTGACTTTGCATTTGATTGAGCTGATTCTTAGCACAGGACGCGGGTGAAAAACGTACATCCCGTACGTACGGTATATTAGCCACGAGGCTATTTTGCGGATTCACTTAGCTGCGCCTCCAAGGAGACAGGGCTCATTGACATTCGAGCAAATCACCAGCTGTGATGCCGCTGACAGGAAGAATGATGGCGTGGCGCGGCGGCCGTTTCCGAAAAAGATGGCTTTCAAGGGGAACGTGACGTAAATTGCGGAACACCAGGAGCAGTCTTGTCAAGGCGCAGCCGTCCCTAAAAAAAGCTACTTGACTCGTGTGCGGAATGACGCTTTTCTACTCCGTTCCTGTAGGTGGCGTAAGTGGACCACACGCAGCAAGCTTTTTCCTCTGCTTGCTACTTTTCTATTTTGACAGCACGGCGGCCTGTCTAAATCAGGGGTGTCAAACTCATTTTTGTCGCGGGCCGCATTTCTGTTACCATTTCCCTTGGAGGGCCGTTATGACTGAGAGCATATAAAGAAGAACGGTTTATTCCACTGTTGTTGAAGTTACTGTCATGAGGGGTTTCGTAACAAGAAAATGCTTACACTAGTGTCTCTCTTATTTAATACATCTAAGAATTTTACATTTTTCGAAGAGATTTTACCAAGCATCATGTTTGATGTTTGATTGGCTTTTGTGGGCCACAGAAAATGATGTGGCCGGCCAGATCCGGCCCCCGGGCCTTGGGTTTGACACCTGTGGTCTAAATGATGCTCCTTTGCTTACTTCACTGCACTATCTATTTTTGCACATATCTGCATAAGGCTTTTTAAAGAATTTTGGATGCAGCCGTGCCGCAATTAACGTTGGAGTAACACCTGAAGGGCTCCTCAACCTTGCATAAGCCATGTATCAAGCACTTGAGCACAAACTCTATCAGCTCCTTGATGATTAACCCGAACCCATTCACCTCGCACTAATGCCACGCCACTTTCGCTGATGCGAATTCATCGGAGCTGTCTTCGGCTGACCCGAAGGCACCCGGCTCTCAGCCTAAGCTGAGCTCAAATTTGGTGTGCGTGTGCGTGTTTCTGTGTGTGTGCTCGAGTAATAGCCTAGTGAGCTTGCTGTCGAGAGGACAACAGCTCCTGACTCAGGGAATCCAAACGAGCGTGTAAGATCATCAGGCACCGGGACATGATCACCAGTGACAGTGTTATTCCACATTATTGATTCGCTTCTCACAATAAAGTGAAGGCATTTGGGAATGCCAATAAGTTGATCTCGGTGAAAGCCTGAATGATTTGGTCTCGGCACCAGTGCTGACCCTGTGGCCGCAGCGCTGCACGCGTCTCTCACACACATGTACACACACGCAGTCTCGCTCTCTCTCCCCTCTCCCTCTATCCCTCCCTCCATATTTATGACACTCGAATGTATGTTAAATATATAGGAGTACGAGTTCCACACCGTAAGGAATGTTCCCGAGAATAAAGCTGCAACGTAATCAGATTAAAGAGTTGTCATTTTATGAGGGAAAAAGTCATCATGGAGTGCTATTTTACAAGTCTTTTATGATCGGAAGAAAGTTTTTAGAAAGTCATAACCTAATAGTAGGGATGCGCATGAATTTTTACAAGAGAAAAAAAAGAGAGTGGGGGTAAAAAGGTATTCTGAGAATCAAGCACATTTTTATGTGACAAGTCATCATGTAGCAAGGATGAAGTTGTATTTTTAAAACAAAAGTACCCCATGAAACCTTCACATCCGCATTTCTTTCAACTTAAAGGTGCCACTTAACTACATTCTTAACTATGTTTATCTGTCTTTCTTTTATCTGCTTGTAACCTCACTTATCCCCCCGTAAAGTCACACTGCTGTCATTCCGTTTTGATTTTATTCTCATAACGTTTGGTGTTTTTCTCGTTAAAAAAAAAAAAAAGATGATCCTCATCGAATTCCGACTTTTTTCCCCCCCTTGTAAAAGTAAGACTTTATCCTCCAAAAAATGATTTTTTTCCTACACTGACAATGTGAACCTGTTCTGCATTTTTTGGAAAAAAAAAGAAACACTTCACTGACACGCTTTTCTGTTTTCTCCCCTTTCCAGGTTTAGCCCGTACGAGTGGTACAACCCGCACCCGTGCAACCCCGACTCGGATGTAGTGGAAAACAATTTTACGCTGCTCAATAGTTTCTGGTTTGGAGTTGGGGCTCTCATGCAGCAAGGTAGTTGCCTCAGCCTGCACAGCTCTCAATATCCCACTGTCTCTCAGGGTTGGCCTTTTTGTTTGGGAGGGGGCGGGGGTTTGTGCACCCAAGCCGACGGGAGACAGAGAAATAGACATCTGGCGTTCTCACGCGCCCCCCAAAAAAATGATTCCCATGTTTTTGGTGTTTGAATTCTCTGATCGCCAGTGTCCTCTCTCTGTCCCTGCTCGGCCCATCAGCGCCGAGAGACCAGTGGGGTGTGGAGTCAGGATGTGAGGTTACCTTGGGTGCATGACTCTCTGGCCCAAACAGCCCGTCACTTCTCCACACTCTGCTGCCGAATGCATTCGACGCCTGAAAACAACCTGTCTGCGGGACATGTTCTATCCCCCCCCCCCACCCCTTTGCATTATTCAAAGCGCTCACTTGTGTCAGCTCGTGGCGGGAGGTGGAAGGGCTGGGGGTAAGCGTGTTTGAAATCCAACAATTATCTTTTCTGAGAGTTTTTTTTTTTTCAAGTGATTTCATCTTGAAGCGAGCGGCGCATCCGCTCCGGCTGAATAGAAAGAAGGGAGGACAAAAAAAAAAAGAAAGAAAAACCCTCAAGAGAGTTCTTGACTGTTTGACTGTTTTTTAGAGCATGCGGCGTTATCTTGTTGTGTGCTGTTACGTGGTGCAAATAGAGCCCGGAAGAGTGAATGCCAGATGAGCGGCTGCGGGGATGCATATATTTGGCAGCTTAACTCCCGCCGCCTCCCTCACCTCAGGCTCCGAGCTCATGCCCAAAGCGCTGTCGACGCGAATAGTGGGAGGCATCTGGTGGTTCTTCACCCTGATCATCATTTCCTCCTACACGGCCAACCTGGCCGCCTTCCTCACCGTGGAGAGGATGGAGTCGCCCATTGACTCCGCCGACGACCTCGCCAAGCAAACCAAGATCCTCTATGGCGTGGTAGAGGATGGGGCCACCATGACCTTTTTCAAGGTAGAAAACAAACAGCATGACTACTCTTCTTTTTCCATTGTGCTCATTTCCATTTCAAGGTGTCTCAAGGGAATCATTGTAGGCCGTCAAATGTCCTGCTTGTAATCAAACCCTCACAGCAATGCCAGCAACAGCGAGACCTTCTGCAACATGTTTTCCCCAAGGTTATTATGGTTAACGAACAAAATAACAAACTGAAAAAATGTTCATCAGTTGAATTAAAAAAAAAAGTAATAAAGAAACAGCAATGCTTTTTTGAATAGAAAAACAATCAACTGAAACTACATTTCAGGTTCATTAAACTAACTAAAGCAAACCATAGTTAGCATAATTAGCGAATAGTACATTTTTCAATTGCTCTTTCAGGAGCTTTTGGAGTTTATTTTCAATGTATTCATTTCCGTGTTACTGTACAATCTGCAATAGACCTGATAGATATATTTTTTTGCAGCTTTTAAATTTGTCAACGAGAAAAAATATTACTGTAATATTGTGCAGGTAAAGTAGAATTTTAGCATACAAGCGGCAGTTTAGCAAAAAAAGAGGCTGCAATCTGATGAATGCCACTCCCAGTTCAAGTTTACTGTCAAAAAAAACTAACAAAATTACACCTGACTTAAAAAAAAAAGACATTTGCCTTTAAGTCAGTTAGCTTGATGCTAACACATAATGGGAAACGCTATAAGCACGCTAAAGAATAGCTCATTACTAACTTGGCTGTGTTGTACCACTTTAAAGAACTGATATTTCAACACAAACTGTGCAGTAACACAATAGAACACAAACTCACAGGCATATATTATTTATCCTCAGCAAAGAAAAAAAGAACAACTTCAACAATACACTTCCTGAGAACAGGCACCCTATCCTGAGTCTCTGTTCTCATTGGATGTGAAAGCTAAGCTAGACCAGGCAACCGAACTAATGTATGTAAAGATGTTATCACAGATCACTTTTTAGTGCAAAACATTTTTCGTTGAAGTATCAACAGAAGTGCCGTCATTGATTTCCCCCTCAAACGCCTGTCAATCTTTCTCACGCAGAAGACGAAGATCTCCACCTACGACAAGATGTGGGAGTTCATGAACAGCAGGAGGCAGTCGGTGATGGTGAAAAACGTGGAGGAGGGCATCCAGCGTGCCCTCACCTCCGAGTACGCTTTCCTCATGGAGTCCACCACCATTGAGTTTGTCACCCAGCGCAACTGCAACCTCACGCAGATCGGAGGCCTCATCGACTCCAAAGCCTACGGAGTGGGAACGCCGATGGGTAAGGAGCGCGACACTCACCCTTCTCTCGAAAGCGTCGGGGAAGCCAGTCAATTATCAGGCGGTTGCGCGGAATTGATTTGTGATTCATTGCATTTGGCAAAACGACATGGCATGCGCGGCTATTGATTCCGTCTCAACTTCTTCCTGTCGATAGAACACGACGCGAGCAAAAAGCTACAATGACACAATTCCTCCAGGCAGCATTATTTTGCTCAATACAACACTGGCATCAATGCGGGACAATTCAAAACATGAAGAGAGGGATTTTCCATCCATCCATTTTCTTCCGCTTATCTGGGTCTTAGCAGAGTAGACGGAAAAAGCTTAGCTCTCCCCAGCCACTTCATGCAGCTCTTCCGGCCGGCTATCCCAAGACCATTCTAGGCCAGCTGGATGACAAACAGGTAGTCTCTCCAGCATGTCGTGCGTCTTCCCTGGGGTCTTCTACCGGTGCGATGTGCCCGTAACACCTCACTAAGCAGAATGCCCGAGCCACCTCTTCTCCATGTGGAGGAGCAACGGCTCGACTCGGATCCCTTGCCGGATGATCGAGCTTCTCTCTGTATCTCTAAGGGAGAGCCCGGAAACCCTGCTGAGCTTGTTTCCACTAGCTTGTTCTTCTGGTCACGGCCCAAAGCTCATGACGGAGATCGACTGGTAAATCGAAAGCCGAGTCTGCAGCACTGCAGACAAAGCTACCCCCCGCCCCCCACATCCCATTCATATATTGTAGAACTTCCAAAGCTGAACGCAAGCCGTTCCGTCACTGTCAAGTTGTTCGAATTCAATAAGAAATAGGAAATCATGTCAAGTGAATCGGCATTTTTTTTTCGTGTTAGACTGTCACCGTTCACATTTTAAGTCTCACATAAGTCGAAAAAGATTTTAAGCACGTTGTACCAAAACTAAAATAAAGTAAAATAACTCCCCCTTGCAAATAACAGATATGTAATGGTGAGAAAATAGTCATCCAGTGGCATTTTACCGGAATTCATGTGGATGTCTAATTTTACATATGGACAAAATATGTGCAGAATTTTGTATATTTGTATATATTATTGTGTGTGTGTGTGTGTGGTTGGGGGGGGGGGGTGATCAATGTGCTACGTCCCCAGGCTGCCACTCGCCCATCCCTGTTCTAGAAATTAACTGAACTGAGGTCTCAGAAGATTTTCAGGCAAAATTGTACTTGGAACTCAAACTTTTGAAGCATGTTCCTCCCCGAAATGTTGGCTCAAATGAATGGGAAGACACGAATTGGTTGTTATTGTTTCCCATAATCTGTCAAAACATTGTAGTCAGATGTAAAATGTTCAATACTGATGCTTTCTAAAAAAAAAAAAAAAAAAGCTTATGCAGATGTCGTTCCATATTTACTCAATGTTAGACAAGCAACTGCTTCATATTGGCGAATTTCCCCTAATGGTTTGAATCAGCGTATTTTTCTGTCACAAAGAGCTACGACGGTGAGGGGGAAGAATTGTGAAAAGAGGCTCGAAAGTGAATTTACCGCAGCCACCCCATGCCCCCCCCCCATCTCCCCTACGCCTTGACGCTGCGTAAATTGTAGCCGAGCGTTAAAGCGCTTCAACAAAACACTCCAGCGGCAAACAATCGCATGACAATCCGACTGCTCGCGCGTCTATTTTTCTAATCTCCGTTTGCGCCTGTCAAAAAAGATGAGACACTCTCAAAGTATCAAACTTTTTTTCCTTATGCGACACTCATCATTCACGCAAGGGGACTGTGTCGTGTTGCGTTGTTGTGTTTGTGCTGGATGCAAAGCAGCTGGCGGGTGGATAAATGTATCCCAAGGGTGCCAGACGGGAAAGCTGCTGATGATTTCCGTCCCAGTTGCCGTAAAGGTTAAACTGGTCGCCACGAGGCCAATGGGAGCACTTGTGGCCGGGGCATCAATGAGGGAGTGGCGGAGCGGGGAAGGGGGGTGGGGCTAATGGCCGCATCCATCACTGGCGATATGAAGGCCATCAAAATACGGATGATTAATTCCGGCCATCCACATCTGGAGCTGCCTCGTGCTGATGAGTGCGACGCGGTTATAGATCTGCAGAGATGCGATGATTGCCACGGCTGTAACAAAGCCGAGGCGGGCGCGGTGATGTATCGCCCCGCTGCGGCGCCGACTTTACACGGACGTCCTTGAGATGGACATCAGACCTTCCACGGTTCCTACTCATCTGTTGCCACGCGGCAGCGTATCAAACGGGAACCGGGCTATATTTCAAATCCTTCATTTCCCTGATAAGTGCCGCACTGATAAATGCATAAAAACTACAGATTAGGACGTCTGCTTGCAGGAGTTATTACTTCCCGCTAATTCATTTCGCGCTCACATTGAGTGTGTTCATGACTCACTGTTTCAGAATAAAGCTGATTACGCTCCTTCAAATGTTTCCTCTGTGATAGAAAATGTCTCTTTTAATCATTAAATGCAGCAGCGCTCCAAAAGAATAGGATTTTTTTTTTCCTCTGACTTTGGGCGTCCTTGTCATTTAATGTTTTGATCCAAGACTGGTTTGTTTCCCCCTCGATGCGGTTTGTTCGTTCGGATGTGAATTAAGTTTCATGAACGGGTCTATTTTCAAATATTTTCAAGAAGGCGGAGGCGTTATAAGGAGCATTATTTTCGTCAAACATTGTATGTCAAATAGGTTCCTCTGATTGTGTCATATGTTTATTTGATAGATTTAGCGCTATTATGCTAGGTTCAGACCGAACACAAAATATCGGGTAGATGCCACCTCTCGCTTGATTTTGTTTATTTTATTGCCTCGAGCAGAGGAGGGAACTTCACTCATAAGTCTGATGACTGGTGGTTGTGTTATTACTCTGGCTAATGCTAAATGCTAGCTTGGCTAACAGTTCAACAGCCGTAAGCAAGTCAATCCCCTCACCGGTATCCAACCTTTTTTTTTTGTTTTTTTTGTGCCTTCCCGGCAGCTATTGAAAGATGAAAACTACAACTAAAATTGAAAAAAAATATTTTCAACAAAATAAAATTTAAATGAGTGCATCTATCATTTTTTCATTTGTTTCCCCCTAGAAAAAAAACTGAAAAAAACCCAAAATAATGGCTTGTTTTCAAAACATTCGTTGAAAAAAAAACAAAAACGGATGAGTGGGTTTATGTAGTGAAAAAAACGCCGATATCAACATCTTCTACATGTACGCGTGGCAGTGGCCACCCTTGGGCACCACGTAGCTTCGCCCCTGATTTACAATTTTCTGCCTGTTCACATTCTTTTGACGAGAAAAAAGTGAAGAGTCACTGACGGTGTCATGGTACAACCCCCCATCCCTTTCCAAAAAGCAAAGCTATCGACTCAATGCGTTAGCATCACAGCCGCTCGGCTGCGTGGGAGTGATGGATGCCTTACGCTTTTCAACATCTGTAAGGTAGTTATGAATGCACGCGGTGTCAAGCGTCACACTTTTCCATTTGCCGCGGCTGCGGCTCTCTATCTTTGTCTCTGAGGACTCATCCTATTAGCATTTATCCAAGGCCTCCTTTGTTAGGCCATCATTTATCATTTGAAATATGATGAAGGGGTTTGCGGCGGGACGGGGGAGGAGGGGGGGGGGGGGGCGCCATCAGGAGTCTGTGATACTTGAGAGATCTCCCACCTTCAAATGAAGCATCTGCTTGAGCACACCAACATGCAAATGAGGGGTCGTCTGGGCCGATATGTACACGCAAGCATGTGAGCGTGGAAGTAGACTTTCAATCAATAATATGTCATGTTTTATTTTTTTTCTGTTTTCGCTTAACCCACATTTGCGAAAGCAGCGAAATGTTTCTCCTTAGAGTTCGTTAGGGGTCGTTCAATGTTGCTTACACAGACGCTAGACGTCCGCCAAGTTTTTTTTTCTTGTCGCAAGGGAATTTTAAATATGTTTTATAAAAGTGCAAGTGAACGTCTGGCGAGCTTCAATGAAGCCCGGCGAACCTTGACGTGAACGCGGCGTTCGCCGACTTCGCAAATGTTTGCAATTGTTCGCCGCTCAGTCGGACGGGGCTTTAAAAAAACAGCTTACAAATCATGTCGATAGCACACTCGGGGTAGCGGGGGTTGTTAAACATGCCTTCTTTATAGACCTTTATATGTACTGTACTAAACCCGCTTTCATGCTCGTGTAAGCCTAAAGGCATCTCTGAAAGCGGCAGCATCTTTACAACTTTACATTCAAACAACTGCTTAAAAATGACGCTGATGGCACACTGTCTTGTATAAAAAAAGCAACACTCTTACTGCCACGGAGACTGCGGATTGCATTTGGTGATGGCGGATATTGCCTCACATTCTTACATTTCCGAGTCGTGAAACTATCACATGACGCCGGAGCCATTACTATAATTATTATGAAGTATGAGGTCGTCATTTTTAATGTGCCCTTTTTCGTACTATTTTTCTTTTTGTCATTGTATCCCCAAGTACATTTTTACTACTGGCTTGAAAATAAGCAACACGTTTACAACTTTAAGAAAGTCCTAAAGCAAAAATTAGCTATTATTGACTGCCGCGTGGAAAAAAAAAAGGCCAACGCAGTTATGTCTGGAAACATTTACATTACTATGTTGCCTTTCTAAACCATCACAGTGGCTTTAGAGTAAAATAATCCCATGGATACATTTCGAGTCGATTATGAGTTTTAATTGAGAAAATTATGCCAAAATACACCATTTTGCTAACGACAGCCATTTTACATTTTGACAGGCTCGAAATGACTCCAAGTTATAACTATACCTATACTGTAGTTGGCTGGCAACCGGTCCTTGGTGTACCCCACCTCTCGCCCAAAGTCGGCTGAGATAGGCTGCAGCTCACCTCGTGACCCAAATGGCGATCAGCATTGTAGAAAAATCGATATATGAATGAAAGGAGACGGAAATTGTGTTTGGTTATTTCTGATCGGATTGTCTTATTTTTTTATTATTGTTTTGTGTCGAACGCTTTAGTGCAGCTGAGGCTGTATAAGTAAACTTGAGTGAGGAAAAAAAATATCAATTTTTATTATTTGCCAAAGACAACATCTGCAGAACTCAGTCAGTGTCCAACTACTTGTGGACCCTGGTGCGTGCTTCGAAAAAAAAAAATGTCTGCGTAATTGTCTGGCTCTGCCCTTTGTGTGTCCAAATAAATGGAGTCTGCAAGATGAAAGGATGATGGATGATAACAGAAAATGATGGATGGCACTGAGAATAAACTGCAAAATAAAAAAGACCTGAAACTGCAGTCGTGAGTCGGCAACATATGGGGGAATGATTAAACACAACTAGCATGCTTTGCAAAAACCTTCCAACTTTGGCTTATTACGTTCATTACCGCCACATGATTGATTTACTTTTTTAATTGTCGTTCAGGCATTCCCCCCTCCCCTTTCAAAACGATGCATGCTTGTGATTTTTAAAGTGCATCTAAATGGAAATGAGTTCAAAAGGCTGCCTTTGTGTTTTGTGCATTTCGTAAACTGATGATATGAATTTCGTTTTTTTTTTTGTTTAAGTCAGAAATAGGAAGATGTAGCGTGCTTTTGTCATGGTTTACAAATGAATGAAACAAGATTCATCTCTCTCTGGGAAATGTGTGTGTGGGGCGGGTGGCACTATTCTATGGAACCGCCGTGAACAAGATCCCGCTCTGCAACGATAACTCCTCCTTTGATCACACCAGTAGCTCCGACTGCCCCCCCCTCCCAACACACACACTCACGCTATTCAACCATTCACAAAAACATGAAACCCCATTTCAAATATACACATATGATCCCACCGCCGTGTAATGTGCACCCAGCTGGGCCGCTGTTTACCGCGCGCGCGTACCCTTTGCGCAAACAGGGGGCGCGCTCCGTACTTGTGCAGACGATACTTTGTTGCCACTCCCTGTGCCTTAATGGGAACGCAGAGTGGCAAGGGAGTCACTCTGTGAAGATCAGGATTAGCGAGAGCTGAAGGAGGACCCCTCGCCTGCAGCCATATGTAACAGATTATGCGATGACACCGCCGTAAATAGGCTTGCCACCGTGCAACGGAGGAACAGGTGTCAAGTCGAGAAAAGGAAAAAAAAAAAGATACCATCTAATCGGCAAGCAGTCCATATGAAGGGGTGCATCTGTATTGAGAGACGAGCTTTGTATGTGGGGGAGGAGCTAAGCTTTGCCATTTTTAAATCCAACTAAGGTCAGCCATTTTGAAGGATAGTGTCGTAAAATGCTTGACATGACATGAATTTCATTTGTCATCACGGGTTGTGGTTAAAATTGAATACGGGCAATTATATGCATTTTGCGCGGGGCGTCAACTACTTTCGACACGGTTAGGTCCCTCTTAGGAAATATGATGGGCCAATTACATCGGTCAACAAATTGGTACCCATTGTTAAAATCACAGATGCTAGTTAGCTTTTCTCATTTTGTTCCCCCAAATCTGCCCTTGTTTTATTTTTTCTCAAGCACATCAATGTTTTCATAGTAATAATAATAAATTATCCTAATCTGTAAACAAACACAGTGCTGCTCAGCTTCTGACTTGTTGAGGTCATGGCGAGCTACAGGCTCGTTCTTAGGCAGCATCTCGCCGACAAGAATAACACTGCAGTCTAAAAAAAAATGGTAGCAACTTTCAACGGCATTTAAACACGCTCTGCGGGCTACGCAGATATAACCAAAACAAGAACAAATGTCATTGTCAGTGTTTTGGATAGCGCAATCATTCATACTCGGTCCTTAACTTCAAAAGAAGAAGAACGGTGAGACTTGAGCTCTGTTTCTTCATGAGTGCCATTAAATCGGTTCCTTTTTTCACAAAAGATAAACCGCATTCTTTTTGCTACAAAGCGGCCCTCGCAATTACGCATTATCAGTTTAAGCAAGCAGTCGGAGTAACGACTGTAGTTTTCCTGTTCTAGTTTGCCAGCAGTCGAGTCCGCATACAAAACCAGCCCGATGACATCCTGGTGGTCTCCCGCAGGCTCTCCATACAGGGACAAGATCACCATCGCGATTCTGCAGCTGCAGGAGGAGGGCAAGCTGCACATGATGAAAGAGAAATGGTGGCGGGGGAACGGCTGCCCCGAGGAAGAGAGCAAAGAGGCCAGCGCTTTGGGGGTGCAGAATATCGGCGGAATCTTCATCGTGCTGGCCGCCGGCCTGGTACTGTCTGTCTTTGTGGCCGTGGGGGAGGTGCTGTACAAGTCCAAGCAGAACGCCCAACTTGAGAAGGTACCATATTTTTTTCCGTCATACAGTAGACATTTCTACATTTCATTGTATATCATTTAAGTACCGGAATCACATAGTGTGCAGTTTGACAGATAGCCAACAATTCCTCAAAATGAAGGCCCGGTGTGCTTGCTTCAAGCTGTTGAGTGCCACTCCTAGTTCACGATAGCTGTAAAACTAAATATAAAACAAGGGAATGACATTTTGTTGATTAGACAAAACCTTATTTTTTGTTTGTTAAAAAATGAATGGGAGGGAAACTGACAAAAAATAATCGTATATTCAATCGCAATTTTAATATTGAGGAAGAAAAATGTGAATATTTTTCAAAATCGTTCAGCCCGTGTGTGTACTGTATTTTCCGCACTATAAGGCGGTTTGGAGTGTAAGTCGCACCTTTAAGGAATGACCTATTTTAAAACTGTTTTTAAATGTAGGGCGCACCGTATTATAAGGTCTACAGAATAGAAGTGACAATAGTGGCTGCAGTTGCATTATGCATCCACTAGATGGAGCTACACTAAAGGATTACAATCCAAGAAAGCTCTATTAGACCGCTGCAGGTGGAACTAAGCGCTTTACAGAACATTTAAAATGCGACGTCCAAGAAATCAGAATATTGATCCGTATAGAAGGCGCATCGGATTATAAGGCGCACTGTCGACTTTGGAGAAAATGGAATGCTTTTCAGTGCGCCTTATAGTGCGGAAAATACGGTATGTATGTTTATACATACGTATTATACTTCCCCCTAGTGGCCAAAGCGCAAACAGCAGAATGGCATCACAATGCCTATTGAAGTAACCAAATAAAACCATTTCCCATAGCCCAGAATCAAAAACTGGTCCACTCCAATCATTTTAGTGTTTTTAAGGCGAGTTTAACCTTGATTGTGCTGTGCTGAGTGCCGACCGTTGTCGTTCACAAACGCAACATTTCAGTTTGACATTGGTTTGACTTTTCCGAATGCAGTGAGCTCACGCGTGTTTTCTCACCGCGTTGTGTCAACAGCATGCAGGGCAGTGTTACTTACACAACGACCTGGATGCTTTTGTTTTTTTTTCCACCTGCCATCTCACTGCTGATTAGTTTGTTCTTATTTTTGTTGCGGGCTGCGTACGTTGTGAGCACATCTCAGCGATCATTAATCAAGATGCCGGCTCGCCGTGTTTGAATCACTTCAAATGCCACAACATCCACGCCGCCGAGGTGGTGGTTCATTTATTTGCCCCGCCTCCCACCTGCTCTATTCGCTCAACCTGTCACATGAAACCAATGACTTTTTACTTTTTTTTTTTTGTTTAAATCCGCCTCTTCTATCCTCTGTTCCCCTTTGCCCGCGCACACTTCCGCTTGCTTTTCTTCTTCTATAATCACCCTGTTCAGAGAGAAAAGCACAAGATGTCATTCATGCAGCAGCCAAACTGTGTGTTTAACTGAAAGGAAATTACCTGTTGTCCAAGCCGCCTACATGTCACACTCCTACACCCAAATTGGATTCGGCGTAATCTGAAAGTGATTTTAAAGGCATTTTGTCTCGGCAACGTTGGCCGAGCACAGCCGTGATAACATTTTATATAAGGGATTTCGTGTCATGTACACAAAATAACCCGCGTCATCCGTTTGGAACATTCAAGCTCACAGATTGTTTTCAAACAGAATCGTCAAGATGGGGAGGAGCCAGACTTTTGCGTTTTCAATCACGGTTTTAACTTTTTCGGGGACAACGGCTACTACAGTGGACAGCTTTATTGTGTTATCAAGTTACAGGGTGCATAAAAGGGTTAAACAACTCTATTGGAGTTGCTCTTGAGCGATGTCCCGCCATCTAGTGGTGAACACTGTTATTGCAATATTAACTGTTCATCCACCGTCAATCGTTTTCATTTTCAAAAACGGAATCCAGGGCCACTCCAAGTGCGGACGCTGCTGAAACAAATGTTTCCAGGTCAGAGCTGCGCATTTCACTATATGGAGGCAACTCACGGCGAGTGACGATCACCTTTTGGTTTTCGTGTCATTTTGGGTCTCCAGTGCAGGTGTGCCTAATGTCGCGTCTCCGCGAGCGTAATCATCGGCGTCGTGAGCAGTGCGGCATAAACGCTCCTCCGCTTGCCGTCTCCGCTTCTGTGCAGAGATCCTTCTGCAGCGCCATGATGGACGAGCTGCGGGTGTCTCTGAAGTGCCAGCGTCGTCTCAAGCAGAAGCCGCAGCCGCCCGTCATCGTTAAGACGGAGGAAGTCATCAATATGCACACGTTCAACGACAGGAGACTCCCGGGAAAGGAAACCATGGCGTAAAAACACACACACAAAAAAAAAGGAAAGGAAAAAAAAAAATCCCCTCTGTGTGCGGGAATGCAATGGGTGGAGCTGGGTGACATCACATCTGAAGTCGGTGTTTTTTTTTTGTGGGTTTTTTTTTGGGGGGAGGGTTGAAGAGGGGCACCATTGATTTATGTCGAGAGATGTTTCCCGTGGAAATCAAGCTAGCTGTGTGAGCAGTGTCACCTCACTGTGATGGTCACTTTGTGAAGGCAGCTGGACATGAAGAGGACTGAGAGTGGACAAATAAACACCAACACACGCGCACACACAAACACATAGTGACACAGGATGTAGTTTTTTTTTGTTTAGTCCGATCTCTGTGTGACCCCAATATACCCCTTCCCCCTTAGTTTCTTTAGGATGATTTGGAGATTAAAAAAAAACAAAAACAAAAAAAAAAACCCCGAAGAAATCCCATCAAGAAGAAGATGATGAGTAGACATCACCAAACACTTTTACTATGAACTGGTGTGTATATTTCGGAATCATCTTTGCCGACTCATCGTACCGTCTTTTTCCTCGTGCCAAAGCTTTTGGTTCAAAAGCCTCAATGTAATACGCTTCTAATGTCTCTCCGAGTTCTTTTAATGCAGGATTTCTACCAAAAAAAAAAAAAAGTTTGTTTTTGTACAAGATCAAGACATTTTATAGGACTTTATATCATGGTAGCCCCTCCCGAGGACACGACATGTAGCGGACGCAAATGAAGCCCTTCCCCTCCCCTCCCCAAAACGCATAGGGGGGGGGGGCTCTGTAGGATTCCATCCCGCTCACTTACGCCACATTTCCGCTTTCAGTCTTTTCATTTTTTTTTTTTTTGTGCGTTGTCTGGAGAAAATATGGCAATGTAATAAAGCTGTGCTTGGAGTCTCAAAGGAGCTTGTTTTTAAAACGGAATACATACTACAGAGTATTTTAAGATATCGGGTAATTGTGTATGCTGTCGATACCAGCCACCAATACTTAAGGCCAAAAAAAAAAAAAAAAAATACAAATGTGACATGAAGTTTTCCTCGGCAGTAGTTGGCGCCATACTATGGCAATTTGACACATCGGTGAATAATCATCTATGCCCGTAAGGAAGGTCTTCACAATTTTTTGTCATTATGTTAAGTTATGCCTGTACTGGTCTGCAAAAAAAGTGGTATCGAACAACGACATACTTCGAAAATGGGTCCTGATTTGTTTAAAAAACAAAATAAAAAAATGGTCCTGCAGAGCTACACCATCGTTTCAAGCAGGGAAACTACCGTACTATCAAGACACCATATTTGTAGTTCCCGCATTGACATAGGATGACAAAAAAATAAAATAAAAATGGACTTGCTGTTATTAAGGCAGAATTTGAACATTATGTCCTGTGATGTGGGTGTTTTATGTATTTGTTTTCAGGTGAGGAAAATAGTCAAGACCCAACAATCATAAAAAGTGAAGCCTCAAGTGCTCCGTGAGTGTGCCATGTAATTCCGAAGCAACCAGTTAGCCTAACTGCTGCTGCTGCTTGTACTTTTTCCTTCTTTCTACGACTCCTACTACTCTGGATGAACTTCATTCTGTCTCTTACTTGTAATTGAACTTGTTTTTTTTTTTTTAGGCTCTTGTTGACCAGGCATTTTTTGGGGGAAGTCCTTCATCTTTATCAGCTGATGTTCAATGTAGGCGTGAGTGTCCTCTGTCAGATTTGAACATCAGCTGATAAAGATGAGTGACACACCATCTTGTGACACTCTCAAGAAGGTGAAAGACCTCCTCAGGAACGTGTCAGGTCAAAAACCACCTTAAAAAAAACAAGTTCGGATACTTCGACCACCCTTTTTTCTTTATTTTGGGGTCAGTCTGGCAGCTGTGCGTCACAATGCCGCCTCCCACAGGTCAGTCTTGGTAACTGCACCCGACATCTGATTTTTTTTGGGTGAGTAGCCTTCAAAATGTCGTTTGAAATGTCATTCATGACGCGTTTTGGGCACTGTTGGTCACCTCTGCACATAGAACACACGGCGGTGTTTGGTTTGAAAGACGGGCTGAAGGGTGGTACGTTATTGGGCAAGGAACTTGCATAATATAGGATGATGTTGAAAGCAATTTAGATCAATATAGGAATGGAATAAATTGTGTGTTTCTGTGTGTGTACACAGCCAGCTGTGCAATAGATTTATGTCACACACAACGGAAAATGTGTCACAGTTTACAGCAGAACACCTTTATTTCACTCACCCCAATATGTCTGCGTTGTATTGCTCGTTTCAAGCCACAGGCGGCTTCTCGATTCACAGTTCAAATATCATACAAGGCTTGAGTGCAAAAGAAATGCAAATGTTTGCTCGATTGTGGATTGCATCCTTTTCACAGCAAAGTAAAAAAAAAAAAAGATAGATGCATTTTTTTTTCCTTCGAAAAATAGCAATTGAGAACACACTAAAAAAAGTCACAGCAAGTTTCTAATATCTGTCCAGGCTGTCACATCAATCCAGCTCAAAGCACAGCAAATTGATATTTTTACAGTGTGTGTGTACATGTATATATATATATATTTTTTTAAACAACAGATACGTTGCAGGTTGTGCTTTAAGGAAGCCAATGAAGTGGCGGCTTGTGCTGATATTGTCATTATTTCAAGGTGTAGCCTTTAATTCTATGATGTCATCATTTGATAAATGACTCGCATTACAAAGTGTGATTTTTTTTTTTTTTTTTTATAACGTAAAGGCTACACGGCATCTAAGGCCAGAAAGCAGCTGCATATTGATATTTCCAAAGTATGTGAAATCGGAAATCATATAACAGTCAGCAGTTACCGTACTTGCTCATACAATGCCACCGGGCGCTTTTAGGGGCCATTCTTCTTCTTCGGAGTTCATTCATAATATTTTTCCACAAATAAGTGGATGATACGACCAGGGATTAATTGGGACAGGACATGTAATGAAAGGTAGGATCACTATTTGAGGGAATACGGTACTTCATAAACGATTACAGCTGAGAGGTCGGTTGAATGTGCGTCGATACACAGCCAATTAGCTTATTATTACTGATAGCATTAAAAGAGCATCGAATGGCTCCATGTGTAAATTTAGCACACGTACGATATATTGCTCTTCCTTCGCGGATATAATAGTCTCTATGCAGTATTTTATGCTAGCCTCACATTGCTCAATTTAAGAAACGTCCTTTCACTTTAAAATAGACACGATAAAAACTTAACGATGGATTCACTCGCTTGTCATCACCCGATCCCTGAATCGGTCAGAAATGTTCATCATCGTCTCTTCGGGACATTATGAGCTGTCTTCTGGGACCGGTGAGGTGAGGGACGCTGGAGGGAGGAGGGTCAAGCGCTCCCGAGTCCAGTTTCGGGGTGGACGTGTAGCGCGGCCCGACCCGGCTGATTAAACCTCGGATGTCCCTATGAAGAGCCGGATCGCTTGGAATGGAATTGAGACGCACGCCCTGTTCCGAACCCCCAGTGTCCCGGTCTAAACGGGGGTTACTGGTGCTGCTGGGAGATTGGGGGTCAGCGCTGAAGTACAAGGTCGAACTGGACTCCGTGGGGCAGAAATCCGGCTCCGGACTGTCTCCGAATACAGACTTGCCCTCTGGTGAGCTGCGCTTGAAATCCGATTCGGGCGACTCCAGCGGACTCTCCATCTCCAGACTGTCGTCCTCTGCTTGTTCGAAGGAAGTGGGTTCACTTACAGTCTGGAACTCGTCTTTACAGTCCGACAGCGGTACCAAGCCTTGCCCCTGAGACTCTGACGTGGAGACGCCCTCGCGGTTGCCCCCTGCCAAGCTGGAGATGCCTTCGTTACTTTTAAACTCCTGGTTGTACTCCTCCAAGTCCAGTATGGCTGCCGCTCCACCTGCCCCGTACGCTCGGTTGATCTTCCCCAGGTCGCCTGTTTTGAGGGCCAGCCGGATGAGTAACCAGTGATGGTGGTAGCAAGGATAGGAGCTGTTTGGCCTCCCTCCGCACGCGCTCGGATCCTCCAGCAGGGAGCCAGCCACTCCGGAGAGGGAGAAGCTGCCGTGGTTTTGTTCGCCGCCAACCGGAAGACTTTTGTCCCCGAGGGAGAAGGAGGACTCACCTCGTTCAATACACGTGCTACCCATGTGGTTGTGGTGGAGACCCTGCGCAATCTCTGTTGACTTGGGATGCAAGAACCGGTAGTAGACGACCAGTGAGGTAGCACCTGGTAACACCATTGAGGCGATAAAATATTAGTGGCTTTAAAATCAAGACGCGATTATTCAACGCGCGTAGCGTTGGGACTCACCGAGGATGAAGCTACAAAGGACAGTGATAGGGAGCGTCATGTTGTCCCACGACGCTTGGCTAAGTAAGTCGGAGGCAGCCAGCAACAACGTGGTGTTCTCGATGAGCATGAACTGAAAAGAGGAAGAAAAGATCACGTTGTCAAAGTAGCTTATATTGAGGAGGCAAAATGAAGTCCATGACCGGCGCTCGATGAGTCTGGCGCTAGTCTGACGGCTAAAGAAGCAGAGACTGCACAAGGTTTATCGCTACAAGCTTGCCAGCAGCAGCAGCGACTAAGCAGCAAGTCACTCGCATGCTTTTGTCTTAATTTTTAGACTGGATGCCCTCGGTGACACAGCCCAACTATTTTTGATCCAGCCTCGGGACAAACCATCTCCATGAAAGGCAGCAGCTGAAACGACCACCGCAGCAGTCTGACGACGACAGAATTGGCGTGTTCAAACGCGCTGCTTACTGTATAAAAACCGGCCATGCGGAAGCGCGACGGTCCATCTTTGACGTTGAGAAAGAGGAAGACGTGGACTAGCCCCAGGAGGGCGTTGAAGGCACGCCAACACCAGGGCCCGGTGCAGATGTCTGGTTGCTGTGATACCAGCCAGAAGGAAGCAGTCAGCCAGTGAAAACCTGCAGGTCAATGTAAAAATAGACGTGTGTACTCTTGTCAAGCTGGCGCAGGTGAGTCGTGCGAAAGCAAACTTCCAACTCCCACCTCAACACGCATTTTACCGAGGGCTACCTACCGAATGACTAATGTGCACGTACCTGCCACTCCGCAGACCCACCAGTCGAACACCCTGGCGAAGAACATGAGGCAGGTCACCCTGGCGCCCAGCATGCCCGCCCTCCACACCAGCTGGCAGAGCAGGGCCGCCGGAGGCATGGCGAGATGACCCGGCCGGATGAGACAGCAGGCGCGGCTGTACAGCACCAGGGCCCAGGAAACGGACAGCACGCAAAGACCGCAGCAGTAGGCCACTGTAAGGAAAACCGAAATGGTGCATTATTTGATGATGAACATATGCAGGCGATCGCAGCTTGTAAGACATGCTCACCTGGCGACATGATGCCCACGTCGGTGGACACGACGATGTACGCTTGCAGTAAGCTCTGGGGCAGGGTGACCACCAGCGCCTCCAAAAGCCAAAGGGCAGCGACGTCCGCCTGCAGCATGACGACCGCACCGAGCTCTGCCACTGAGCCGTGCATGCGCGACACGTACCTCATGCAGTCCCAAAGCCTGCCAGCAGAGGGACACATGGACGCATTTTAGGTATGACTCGCTTTCTCGTCCAGTACAGTGGAACGCAATTATACAAATAAAGTAATCCCTACAATACAAATACAGAAAATCCGCGAAGTAGCGTCCAATTAACAAACAGGTTAAATTTTTTTTTTTTTTTAAAGTCCGCAAACGGTCCTCGAGAAGCTACAAAACAACAGCGAGTCACATAGAGCAACATATACAGTACTGTACTCCATGTATATTAAAAAAAAAAAAAAAAAAATCCGAGATGCACTGAACCCGCGATAAACGAACCGCGAAGTAGCGAGGGATCACTGTACTACCTGGGCCAATGGCACAATGACCATGGACAAAACAACCCCAATTTAGGGGGTTGTTTTGTCCAAGTAGCCCCCCCTCCCCCATGGTCATTAAGGCGTTAGGGTTAGGCCTTATGCTAGTGTGTGCGTCAAACAAAACTCAGTGGAGCTTTTACTTACCTTTTAGCTTTTGGGTAAAGCAAGATCGTGCGGAGGCTCGACTCCATTATGTGTCACCGTTAAATTTGAGCCAAGGTGACAACACGTATGGTGACGTGAGCATGTGCACTGAATGTGAATCTTTTCTTCACTTGTGGTAAGGCTAATCTTTTTGCAACCGAAATTACACTGACATCTTGTTCTGTGCCACTTAAACAGTATTATTTTTCCCCCAAAATATTTCTGGAGGCTTTACTGGATACACTTAACACGTTTCAGGGGGTGAAAACGGACGGGTCTTACCGTTTGAAGATGCCCAAGTGAAGAATGTGTATGGTCGAGAGGTACCATCGCCTATTGTCGCCATCGTCGTAATACCACTTGACACTCAGCAGCTGCACCGCAGTACCCGGGAGGAAGAGCCCTAGCGTGAAACCGGCCCACCGTGTCTCATCATTCCAGAGGTAAAATCCTATACAGTAGATAACTGGAAAATACACCCCAAAAAACAAGAATTACTACACTTGTGAGAGGTATGTTAATATTAAACATAAAACAAATCAGAGGTACAATATTTGGCCGATATTAAGGCCTCATACAGGGTGTACTACAATTTAAAATTTTCAAGCAACCGACAACAGTCGCAAATTACTGCGTGACTTGAAAATGCTGCGTGAAAATGTGCCGTGATTATTGTGATTCGAGGTTCTGCGAGACACTGAACCCTGTGAGGGAGTTGTTAACGTTTGCTGCCATTGAGAGAAGTCACACTTCAAGTCTACGCTCCACTTTCATGGGCTGGCTGCCCTTGCCTCATCGATTTGCTTAGTCAGGCAGTCCTCCTTCAAATCCGTTCTCAGCACAGAACGATAGTTTTTGTCAGGGTGACATGTTCGCACCCCAAAATAGATGCTTATTAGCTCTCCAGTAGTTTCATGTTTGCTACACTATAACTACGACGTCGATAGTCTCTGTCAAAAATGTCAAATAACACAAGCTGGTTTGCTCAAGGTTATCATCTTGGCTTTTTGAGTTCTTGGCATGTTGCTAGCCGACTAGCTAACTGCACTCTATCGATCTATCTAGCCATCTATATCTAGATCTATCAGGTCAGTGTTTGGCTGATGCCTATCCCAGTTGCTGGTCACACTCTGTTTGTCACAGCCCATTGCAGGGCAAGTAATCGGTGTGTCAGGAATGTTCGGCGTCACCAAAGATATATTTTTAAACACACACCACAAACTGTGAGTGTTCTTCTTCAGTGTGGGCCAGACAATCAAACAGCATGTTTAAATAGGACAAGAAGAGTTGTAGCAGGCTCATATCTGAGCATCCGACACTTCCTGGCAGGGAAGCGTATTGCCATGCTCGATTAACCTCTCGACTCACCTGAACTGGCTCTGCGATTTTTTTTTTTCTTCGCAATCTTAACTGGGTCGTCCAAGCCTTTTTTTCCCCCTGAACTCCTGACACACCTCATAGACAAACTACAATTCACACTCATCTTCACACCTACGGACAACTTAGTCTTCTCTCAACCTAACTTGCTCTATTTTGGAACTGTGAGGTAGACAACCACGCAACCAACTAATGTGTACCTAATTGAATGCACTTTTGTAGAGCTATCGATTTTTTTTTTTCATTACAATATTTTATGGTTTGAAACCAGTATTGATACCACTGAAGGCGTATTTTTGACATTCTAACTGCGAGATGAGCACCCCTAAAGGTCAGCCATTCCTAGAATAGAAACCTGCATCCCGCATCATCGTCACAATAGTTTTCGAATCGGCACTACCCTTAACAGTACCTCGCCTTCGTTCGTTGCTTCTAAACATCCCCCCCCCCCCAAAAAAAAAAAAACATCCTCCCGAGGCGAATATAACATCGATAGTCGATATGGTCGGGCTCCTTGCAGCCCGAACTTGCCCGTGTATCGATTTCGATCCGCCCCCCTCCGCACTTACGAGCGCTCCTCTCGGCCGCGATGACCAGCGCCGACACGCCGAGCAGCGCCGCCTGGCACCAGGCGATCCAGCGCTCGCTCCGCCGTGCCGCCGACGGCCTCCTGCGGCCCACCGCCTCGGACGTGCTGATCATGGTGCCGGGCGGCGGCGGCGGAGGCTGCAAAGCGGCGACCTTATCGTGCGCATCCGTCGCCCCCTACCTCTGCGCTTGGGCTCCCTTTCTTCTCCCGCTGGCCCGTCTGCTGTCAAAATAGATGACGTCACTGCGCACTTTTAAAGGGCCACGCTCAGCTTTTTTCCGCTCCTCCACTGCGCGCCCGTGACCGCCTCTCCACCTCACCCTCTTTGCTTTTAGTCAAAACGGCACATTTTCAACCCCATCATATGTTAAATGTAATTTTTTTCATGCTTTTGTGCACTTTGTTTTTTTTTTTTTTTTTTTTAAACACTCCGTTTGACTTTTATTGCTTGTGCCCCACCGCTGAGCTAATCTCAAATTACAACTTTAAAGGGTGTCAAGTGGCCTATTGTCCGAACAGGCTATCCAATGTTATGATGGAGGGGCGCGTCAAATTCACGAACCAGGCAACACAAAGTGGGAAGTGCAAAGATGTTTTTTTGTATTTTGAATTTGTTGTTATATTAGCAGTGTGGAATGGAAGTGTTATAGTAAACCAGTCGTATATGTGGTTGATGCAAGTGTGTGTGTATGTGTCAGTCTGTATGGGAAGAACTGCTCAAACATCCCATAATAGGCCATGCACATACCACGGCTATAAAGCATACCTTTTGCCATAATACTGAAACAAATAGAATGTTGTTTTTTTTTGTAATGCTTTCCCCATGTCAACATTTTACCGCATTTCAACAAAATAGTTTGTGCTGTTCTGAAAATTGCCTTTCCCGCATTCCACAACAAAGAAAAAAAAAGAGTTGACACAACTAATTTGTTTTGGAGCAAACAACTTGTATGCTTTGTCGTGCTAATTAACATAGTTACCATGTATGTCAATCATTTATAATTGGAAGGTGTTCCAACTTACATTAGTGAAAAAAAAAACCCAAAACGCACTTTGGGCGTTTTTACAGTGTCATGAATGCCTCATCATAATCAGCAGTGAAACAGACGCCTTGTTATTTTCCCATTAGGCTAAAAGTAGCACAGGTGGTGCCAATACCACCATCATATGCAGCTAGAAGAGCAGACATTGTAAAACTCAAGTTATACAATGGCCCTAATTGATGGCTGGTACTCATGCACCAAGCTGCTGTGGGGTGATACAGTATACGCGTGAAACTGGCTGCCCACTCATGCTCAAATCGAGTTGACGAGGTAACAGGTTGACACATTGTGTTGTAAATACCTCCCTGAGCCCATAACAGGAAATTTATGTCCGTCCTGAAGCCCTCACGTCAACGAAGCTCGCTCTCAAAAGGGCACCGCCACAACGCAAACAATGCAGGCTTCCCCCGCGCACAGTCAAACCTTTTCTGCTTTATTTGTATCTGTAGTAAGAAGACACATAAACGCATATCCATTCTTACTCTTGCTGGTTGGAATAAAAAAAAAAAAAAAGGCTTTATGCATAATGGCATGTTTGGCTGACATGACGATACAGTGACGCCTCATGTCATGAAACCCTGTTTGTATAAATCAATATGAGCGGAACGGAATAAATTAGCAACTTTTTATACGTTAAACCAACAAAGTGTCAGGTCGTGCTGGTGGAGTCTTGGGACTTCACGTGAAGCGGTCGTTTATAGATGAGGCTTTACTTCAAATAGGGCAGTGCCAGACAGCTGCTGAGTTGACCTGTCAGGATTATATGGCTGGATTAGCAAAGCCGTCTTCAGGCTCTGACATGCAGCCTGACTCGCGCTTGATGCGGCTCGGATGCAGAGGTAGACGAGGTCCGAGGTCGTGTCGCGAAGCCGCCTTCGCCGATTCAAAGAGTTCGAAGCCAGCCATGGCGCCATCCTGTCGTTTGGAGGCGCGAGTGTTCAACCTTTGTATGAGCGCAAGCACATCCCTCTTGTCCACCTTGGCCTCCGCCGCCATGGCCTCGAGCTGCTCGGCCGCTTCGCTCACGTCGAACCTCTCGATCTCCGAGTTGACCCTGTGGAACTCCTCGGGGGAGTGTTTGTGCGAAGACGAGATAGGGCAGAACCCCTGGAGGTGGACCTGAAGGCTGCACTGGTGGAAGTAGGCGCAGGGGCAGCAGGGACAGCGGTACGGACGTTCCCCAGTGTGGAGGCGTTTGTGGAGCTTCAGGTGGATGAACTGAGTGAACCGGGCCGGGCACAGTTTGCACTGGTAGGGCCTCTCGCCTGAGTGCAACCTTTGGTGTGTCTTTAAATTGCTGGTGCTGCTGAATCGCTTGTGGCAGACCTGCGGCAAACAAGGTGGTCATTTCCAAACCTAATTGTATCACATCATGAGAGAGCTGATTGAAAAAAAAAAAACTACCTTGCACTCATGGGGCTTCTCTCCGGTGTGAACCAGGTAGTGTTTCTGCAGGTGTGCCAGCTGAGTAAAGTTCTTGCTGCACGTTTGGCATCTGAAGGGACGCTCGCCGCTGTGGACCCGCAGGTGGACCTGAGGGCGGCGCTCGTTCAGGTTAACATCCTCCAAAACCGTATTGGCCTGAATATAAGACGGTGTCTTTTGCATTGAAATAAGACTGAAAAAGTGGGGGTCGTCTTATATTCGGGGTCTAGACATTATACCCATTCACGACGCTAGATGGCGCCAGATATCAATGAAGCAAATGCTGAACTTGACTCCCCAGGCCAAAGTGAACCCCTGTCACGAAGAATAAAAACAAAAATAGCGGTAGCATGAAGACGAAAAATAAAAAATAGCGGTAAGAAGGAAAAGAGAAGAAAATAATAGAAGAGATAACAGAAAATGGAGAAACGTAGCGACAATCTGGAGAAAAGTGGGTCGAAGATCGGCCAGGTTAACCGGCAGCTGAGGAGAAGTTATGATGTAATTTACATTTCAAAAACCAGAAGCCATTCATTTACGAAAGTGATTGCACTTTAGTTTACATATTTAAATGTTCAGATATTAATATTTGAATGAGGCAAAATAACATGCTATTTCTCTCAAATATATTGTTAGAATCATTTGTTTCAGATGTACTGTAATTATTTTCTGTATAAAAATTAATTTGGTGTTCAAAGTCTTTTTTCAAACATGAGTCTTGAAAAAGAGGGGGTCGTCTTATAATCAGGGCCGTCTTATATTCGGGCCAATACGGTAATTGGAGCCTTTTCTAAAATGCAAAGTCATCATACCTTGAGGTTAGACAACTGGCCAAAGACTTTCCTGCAGATGTTGCACTCGTACCGGATCTTTCCGTTCTGTCTGGTGAGCGGGTACGACAAGGTCTTGTAGCCGACCGCGTGCTCCTCTCGTTTGGCCTTCCTGAGGTCCGCTGCATCCGCGGTGTTGCTTTGCATCGCCTTAGTTGGTTTCCAGGGGTCATGGTCCAATGACGCCGCCGTACCGAGCGGTGGGGAGCATCCTCCTGATGCGAGTGAGGGCTGCGCTCTGCATGGGGCGCTGACCGCAGATGTGGCACTGGATGTGGACGCTAAAGGGACGTCCGCTTCTCCGGGCTGCTCGGAAGGACTCTTGAGGTAGTTTGTTCTTTGGCATATGAGGTTCTTTTCATCTTTGGTGTCGCCGGTCGGAGAAGGAATGAGGTCATCTTTGGTGTTTGATTGTGCAAAAGTTAAGTTCTTGTGTTCCGGGTGGAGGAGGTTTACATGACCATCCGAAGGCAGTAAGTGAGCGGAGAGCGTCAGGTAAGGTTTTAGGCAATCGGCGTAGGACAAGTAGGTGTGAGGTAGAATGTTGTCAGGGCAAGGTGAGTAGCGGGGTAGGAGATAGGTGGCGTGCCTCAAGGCGGGATAAACTCGATCTGGTACTGCGGGTTCTGGGTAAGGTTTAGCTAGGACATGTCTCGGGCTGTGCTGGAAGCTGTATAAACTGGAAGGAAGGTGGCTACTTAAAGCTAACTTTTTGGCAGCCGGTAGAGGCGGCAGAGCTGCATACCTGTGGATGGGTTCCGAACGGGACTGAATTGGGTAGGCGATGGGGAAAACGGAGAGGTTATCCTGAGATAAAGAACCGTCCATTTGTCGGCGAAGGCTAGCGAGGGCTTTGGGGGGCTCTTCTCGGAGGATCTCGGTCACGCTGTGTCCGCGTTTCTCCGTCGTCGTCTTCTGTGAATGGCAATGGTCTGTTGGCGAAAGAAACGTGGTATTGAAAAGATCCCGCAAGAACATTTTTGTTTTTCTAAGAAGTGATATGAAAATATAAGTGGTCATTTATATTCAACTTTTCTCAGTTTTGGAGTTTGGGCATGTTTCATTTCATTTGACATTTTCCTAATAACGCGTTTCAAAGGTAAACTTACGGCAAGGCAGAACAATCCTAAATGTGTATTGAAATGGCAAAAAAAAACAAAAAAAAACCCGGGATGTTTGTGTAATACAGTTTTGACTCCAGTCTGTCTTTTATTTCCGGAAATTATGCAAAATTCGGATTTTGTTAATTTATTGCAAAATTCCATACTTTTCTCAGATTGCAACTCTATTCTCAGAATTGTATGATTTTTTCTTTAATATATAACTACCTAATTTAGTATTAGGGCCACACTGAAAAGAAAAAAAAAATGTTCTAAACGAAATTAAAGACAAAATATTCCAAGAAAAATTCTCATTCTCAAAAAAAGAACCAAAAGTAAAGTTATGAGGGGAAAAAAAAAGTTGTTGTTCAATTCTCGTAAATTGATGCGTAAAGATTTTTCACGTAACTCCAAAATAAGGATGTTTCCAGTGAACCATTTCATGAAACGTTCCTCAAATTTGCTCTCTTCATATCCTCATAACGTCAACACATGATGAGATCATAAGTACGACTACGCTAACCTCTGCACTTTTTTCACCTCTCCTTAAACACATTTCGGCCACAAAAACACATCGTGCAACCCTTATCTACCATTTCCCTTTGTCCCGAACCCCCTCCCACCGCCCCCTCCCCTCCCCGCCGCCAAACCCTGGGCAAACAAACAGCCGACACTCAGTGAGACATCAGTCTGTCAGCGGGTTGCCCTATCAGGAAGTTCAAGTAGTCACCGGAGCGCTTCCTACTTCTCCTCCTCATTTTAAGAGCCAAATAAATAAGACGAGTCGTGCCAGAATGCTGTCAGCAGCTCAGGAGACCCTCCAGTCATCTATTTTGGAGTTTCATTCTGGTTTGTGAACTGTGAGGCGCGTGCTTTATCCGGCAGCCAGCTCACAGCTGTGTCTCGACGTGGCGTTCTGAGAGAAACTGACACAAGACCAGAAATTGGTCTCGGTTTACCTACGGGGGGGGGACTATGGCTACTCCTGGCTACACCTCCATTCACAGCAGCTCCTGGCCGGGAAGTAAAGGCTTAATGGTGTAGAAGTAGATGTCCAGACCGCTCTGGCACGCGATCAAGTTCTGCTCGTCGGTGCCGCGGGCCGGGTTTACGTATCGCATCCAGTTGCTCTTGTCTTCGTTCAAACCGTCCAGGATGTGGTGTAAGGTCCCGTGGGAGAAGACCTGCAGCAGGGGATGCAGTCAGCCGCCGATGACTAATCGGCTTTCTGATGCGCTCTCAAACCCGAAACTATGAAGTCACCGGTCGCTTGATGCTTTTATGGTAAATGTGAAAGAATCTTTGCAAGATAGGCGCCCGCAAGGCCTTAATGGCAACAAGTAACAGGAAGTTTACTTGAATGAGTACAGGGCTGTTTACGTTCTCATTCGCTTCATCACGGATGAATCAGCAATTTTATTGGCTTTGGGAAATTCACAATCATCGTCACATTTCAGTCCTGGCAAGAACCGACTTTATTGAACTTTATGAAGGATTTTACTCACGATTTACTTGAACCCTTTCAGGGACGGCGGTCACTACAGCGGACAGCTTACTTCTTCAGACTACATGTCGCTACTTTTACGTTATTATAAACAGTACGTTGATCATTAAACTTCATGATATCCTCTTCACGCTCTTTGACACCAAATTGATCTGATTTGACTCATCATAATAATCTAATCCGAAGAGATTATCAAGACTCCAGTGGCACCTCTACTTACGTTCTTCTGAGAGAGAATATGAACTAAAGAGGGCAAAAAAAAAACGATGAGGATGCAGTTAGAAGTTAAATGAACCTCATTTATATTCATGACTCTAATTCTTTGCTTTTTACATTATGCACAGCTCTCATTTATTGCGCAACAGTCATTTACATTATGCACAACTCTCATTTATTGCGCAATAGTCAAATTATAACATGTATTTGTTACACATTTTGATGCATTTTTATGCTTTAGGAAACATGTCTGGATTTTGGGGGGGGGGCTTGGAACGGATTAGGGCATTTACATGAAAAACGCGTCTCTACTTACAAAATTTTCTAGTTAAAAATTTATTCTAGAACCAATTAATTTCGTGAATACAGGCAAAAAAAAAAAAAAAGCAGCCCTTACAATATTTTAGCAGTTCTCGGTACTTGTTTCAGGTTGACAAAGCGCTTGAATAAACTCTTCTAGTTTCACTTGCAACGTCTGCAGATCGCGTCGAAACGTGAGAGTGTATGATGAAAGTTGTCCAAACGCCGCTTAGATGGAAGGTGACGCTTCTCGGGTTCAAAAGCCACTTCCTTTTGCCGCGTCAGTGCGCAAGCGTTCGCTACGCTGGAAAAGCGCGGCCGTTCTGTACGCCGTATTTACCGGCAGAGACGCGCTCGAAGAGGGGAGAAGCTCTGCGTCACTGAAACCAAACAGCTGTGCGCTCGCGGCGTTATTTAGCCACGTACTTGACACCGCAGCAACTTCAAACTTCACAGGAGGCAAAAACCACGACGGCTAACCAGTCGCGCGGCCGCATCGACGTCTCAGACGGAGCGAGAAGACGCGAATGGTTTTCAAAACAAAACATGCGCTGACTTGCTTACCCTCCAAAAATACTTTCTGTTGGCATCTTTCAGCAGCGTTTCGTTGGTGTATGTTTCCCCCACGAGAGGCCCAAAGCGTGTCCCCTTCGGGATCAACTCTTTACTGGTCACTCCAAGCACCTGGCCAAAAGAGACAAAGAGTCAACAAGCTTGTCGTTTTGCAAATTGGAAGGCTGAGGCAAGTGTCCAGAGCCTAATTAGAGGGATGGACAACCAAAAAGCTTGTGGCATTATTTTTGCCGCTTTGAAGTACTTTTAAATACGGATATTAGTTTAGCTACTACCGTGGCTAAGGCTTTTTTTTCTTAATGCAAATTTTTTTTTCAAAACTATTTTTTGGCAAAACTAGCTCACCTGTGAAGCATTATGTCACCCACCCAC